AATAATTTTTCGCTGCTTGTCGTTGGTCGACCGACGCTGCCAGATAAGAAGAAGGCAGTCATGGCCATGGCTGCCTTCAACCTCTTCTAACTCTCTCTCTCTCTCTTTTTAAAAAAAAATATTTCTTCCTTCTTCGTCTCCAGATTTGGAGACGAAGAAGGAGAGAAGGAGAAGGCAGCTATGGCTGTACGCCATGGCTGCCATCAATCTTTTTTTTTTTTTTTTTTTTTAATATTTCCCTTCTTCGTCTCCTGATCTGGAGAAGAAGAAAGGAAATAGGACCCTTCTTCATCTCCAGATTTGGAGACGAAGAAGGAACCAAGAGTAAGGCAGCCATGGCTGCCTTCAAGCTTCAACTTTTTTTTTTTTTTTTAATAAAAATCATTCCTTTCAGCCTATTAGAGGATCAATCCAACAGTTTGTGGCAGTTAGTGATCTGTTAATCCAGCTGTAATGGCAGTTAGTTAGTTAGCTTTTGTTATAGCCTTCCTTTCCTCTTCTGTACAGAACATATAAACCTGGCTACTGTTCCATTGCTAAGCTGATTTTGTTGATGATGAATAAAACAGTTTCTACCTTCTTCCTTCTTCAAATCTTTGTTTTGTGATATGGTATCAGAGCCTGAGTTGCGCCTATGGCGTGGAAAAACACAACGAACAGACCCCTTGCGACAATAGCCCCTTCAGTGGCTGGAACACCACCTAGTGTAACACCGGAAAATCCGATCCCCGCTGGAGCACATTTTGATCCAAACGACGCTGCCAGTCTTTTCTTCCTACACCCTAGTGAGAACCCTTCCTTGGTTTTGGTCTCATCAATCCTCAATGGTCGGAACTACCATCCTTGCGCACGGGTAATGGAGATGTCGCTACTCTCCAAGAATAAATTAGGGTTTGTCGATGGTATGATTGCAGTGCCAAGTGCAGGAAAAGTGAAGTACCCCTACTGGAAGAGGTGCAATAACATGGTAAGGCAAGGAGACCTGACTGTAAGTGCTTACTTTGCCAAGTTGAAATTTTTATGGGATGAACTTCAAGTTATCAGGCCATTACCTATGTGTAAATGTGAGAAGATGTGTGATTGTGGGATATTAGAAACTCTGCAGCAGCATCTAGAAAGTGTTAACCTCTCTGTATTTCTAAGAGGCCTTAATGAAACCTATGCATCTGTTCAATCCCAAATAATGATGACCAAGCCCCTTCCTACTGTTGATGAGGCATTCATGATGGTTCAACAACAAGAAAGGAGGCTTAATAATGGGACAGCAGGAATGCAGATTGAAGAAGCAAGAAGTGTCCTTCTCACCCAAGGGAATGTTCCTGGACCTAAGAAATTTTATTCCAACAATAACAACAAGAAGCATGTCTGTTCTTATTGTGGATTCACTGGACACACAATAGAGAAGTGTTATAAAAACATGGTTATCCACCTGGGTGGAAACCAAGAAATAGAAGCATTTGCTCAGCCAATCAAGTACAGTTCACCCCTGATGATCAGCCCCTTACTGAGAATAATGGTTATGTCACCTTATGTCAAGATGAATATAGACTGCTCAAACAATTCTTACAAAGAGACAGCATGGCTCACAATTCCTCACCCTTGAATGAAGCTGGAGGAATGACACCTCAAGTCAACCTGATTGCTGCCAATTTTACCCCTAATTCACAGCTTGAAGGTACTCATCGTAAACATTTTCTTAAAAATGAAGCTAGTTGGATACTAGATAGTGGGGCTACCCATCATGTTGTTTGTCATCATGCTATGCTGACCAATTCAAAGAAAGTGGAAGGTATGTTTGTAGAACTACCTAATGGTGATAGGGCTGAGATCTCTCATATAGGGTCCATTTATGCAGACAGTTTGATTTTGCAAAAAGTATTCTGTGTACCTGCCTTCCATTATAATCTGATTTCAGTTAGTGAGTTGATTAAAACTTCCAAGTGCAAACTGCTGCTACATTCTGATTTGTGCATTATACAGGATCAGGACTCTGGGAGGATGATTGGCTTGGCTAGCTTACAGAAAGGGTTATACCACCTTGTGAGACCTGTTTTTTCTGTTTCTAGTAAAGTACAGTGGAACAAGTTAGGGCTAATGCTTGTAAATCTAGTAGCATTTGGCATGCTAGATTAGGACATTGTTCATATGGAAAATTGAAGCAATTACCTTTGTCAGATGTAGATATGAGAATGAATAAAGATGAAGTTTGAAATATATGTCATTTAGCCAAACAAAAGAGATTACCATTTCATACTAGTTCCACTATCTCTAATGATTGTTTTGATCTTGTGCACATTGATATCTGGGGGCCATATCATATACATACCATGTATGGACACAAATATTTCCTAACTATTGTAGATGACTATAGCAGGGCCACATGAGTTCATCTACTGAGAAGTAAAAGTGAAGTCAGAACACTGGTTCAGAATTTTTGTGCATTCACTGTGACACAATTTGGCAAAGTGGTTAAGTGCATAAGAACAGATAATGGACAAGAGTTCAAGATGGATAGTTTTTATCAAGAGAAAGGAATCATTCACCAATCAACATGTGTTTATACACCACAACAGAATGGTGTAGTAGAGAGAAAATATGGTCACATCTTGGCAGTGGCAAGAGCCCTCAAGTTCCAAGCAGACCTTTCAGATAGTTTTTAGGGAGATTGTATATTGCATGCAGTGTACATTATCAATAAGTTACCTTCAGCAGCTTTACAAGGTCAGATCCCTTATCAGATTTTGTTCAAAAAATCTCCTCAATATTGTCATCTCAGGGTTTTTGGGTGCCTAACATATGTTGTTGTGCAGAAAGGACACCAAAGTAAGTTTTCACCTAGGGGCAGAAAGTGTTTGTTTCTTGGATATCCTAATGGAGTAAAAGGGTATAAGCTTTATGATTTGAATTCCAGGGAGGTGTTTGTATCAAGAGATGTGGTGTTCTATGAAAATGTCTTTCCCCACAAGACAACAAGTCTTTTAAGTGATTTAGGACCATCCCAGGATCTTATTTTGCCAAATGGTGATATCATTGTGAATGACAATGCCCTGACAAAGGTCTCTCAGAAAAGACAGATAAGCAGTGGTGATAATCTTGCAGAATCTAATGATAATGGGACTGATTTTGCTCAAAATAGTCCTACAGGACCAGAGGGTAGCATGCTTGTTTGTTCTCAAAATAGTTCTACAGAAGAATATGATAACATACCTGAATTTGGGCAAAACCAGAATGATTTGGAGCAGTCCAATTTGCCACAATCTGATTCAGTTCCAATGCAACGTAGGAGATCCAGTAGGCAAATTTGAAGACCTGGATACCTCAAGGATTATGATTGCAATTTACCTGCTACTAAGACCTCTCCCCACACTCTCTCAGCAGTCCTATCTTACAAAAAGTTATCTCCTAGTTTCAAAATCTTTGCCACAAATATCCTTGGCATCCAGGAGCCCAAATCCTACAATGAAGCCATTCAACATGAATGTTGGAGGACTGCTATGCAAGCAGAGATAGATGCATTGCAGGCTAACAGCACATGGGAACTAACCACACTACCATCCTCCAAGCAACCAATAGGGTGTAGATGGGTTTACAAGGTAAAACACAAGGCTGATGGGACAGTGGAAAGGTGCAAGGCCATGCTAGTTGCAAAGGGGTACACCCAAACTTGTGGGATAGATTATGTGGACACTTTTAGTCCAGTAGCAAAGGTCACAACCATCAGAACCTTGATTGCTATGGCAGCTGCAAAAGGATGGCAGTTGCATCAACTTGATGTCAACAATGCCTTCTTACATGGAGATCTTAAGGAAGAAGTGTATATGACCCTCCCTCCAGGTTTTGTTCCAAAACAGCCTGCTGGGCAAGTGTGCAAATTGAAGAGGTCACTCTATGGTTTAAAGCAGGCAAGTAGACAGTGGAATGCCAGACTGACCACTAAATTAATTAGCATGGGGTTCAAGCAAGCCATATGTGACAACTCTCTATTCACTAAAGGGTCTGGTAATGATTTTATTGCTCTTCTTGTATATGTTGATGATATAGTTTTGGCTAGCAGTGACAGAGATCAAATACAACAAATCAAGGAACACCTACATTCAGTTTTCCAGATTAACACTACTACAAAATTCACATACAACGTCGGGCTTTTAACGTCGGCTATATATATAGCCGATGTTAAAAGTTTTTTCTAATTTTTTTTATAAAAAAAATATATACAACGTCGGCTATTAGTTAATAGCCGACGTTATATGTTACAAATAAAAAAATAAAAAAATAAGTATAATACAACGTCGGCTATTTTAATAGCCGACGTTATAAGTTATTTTATTTTATTTTTTAAATTTATTTAACCCTATGACATCGGCTATTAACTAATAGCCGATGTCGTAGGCTCTTTAAAACCCTTCTAACAAACGCAAAATTTTATTTATTTGGATATTACGACTCATCTTCCCCACCTCGACTCATCTTCCCCGCCTCCACTGTGTCGCCCTTCACCGCAGCGCCCTTCACCGCCACTACCACACGTCGCCACCGCTCTCCTAGACACCGGACGTCGCCGCCACCGCGACACCGCCCAGCGTCACAGCCATCGCCACACCTCCCACCGCCCAAGCCTTCTGTTCGACGCCTCGAGGTTCACCCGCACAGCTACAGCCACCCACCGCACAACCACAGCCACCGCGCATCTCCGCCGCACCGCTACACCGCCGCATGCCTTCCCGAATCTCCGAGGTTCGACGCCTCTTTTTTTTTTTAATTATTTATTTAAATTTTCTAATTTCTAATTTTTATTTGAATTATAATAAATATATTTGAGTTTATTTGGTAATTGTATTTCGAATTTTAGGAATTATTAGTATATATTTTGAATTTTATAAGTTATTGGTTATAAATTTGAAATTATTTTAATGCTCTGTGCTTGTAAATTATAGTTTTGACTTTGTAAATGTTGGTTGTAGGTAAGTAGGACTTGAATTTGTTTTTTTTTTTTTTTTTTTTTTGGCTAATATCACTTTAAAGAGTGCTATGACTCCTGTTGCAAACACAACCAGGAGAATAATTTACTTGGCCAAGTAGCAGAAACGATGAAATCAAATGCCACAGGATTAAATGAAGTGTCAGGTGATCAGTACAGTAGTTTCAGCTGATAGTTTGAAAGGGGCATCTATTGGGGCATCACGACTTTCTGATGTTACCACTCTTGCTGTTGGATATATGTTTATATTTTTTATGGTCTTTTTCTATCCTGGAGTTGTTGCTTTAATTCGGTACACTAGAGGAGAACATTTGACATTGGGGAGATTTTATGGAATTGCATCCATTGCATAAACTATTCCTTCCCTATTCAGGCAATTTGTGGCAGCAATGAGACATCTGATGACTATGATCAAGGTTGCTTTTCTTCTTGTAATTGAACTTGGGGTCTTCCCTTTGATGTGTGGATGGTGGCTGGATGTTTGTACTATAAAGTACACTAGAGGAGAACCTTTGACATTGGCTTTTCTTCTTGCTATTCTTTGTGTAATATTTTTGTTTAACAACACCATTCTTTTGTTTGGCAGTCTGTCAGATCCATTTACTGAAATTCCTGCTGACATGCTTCTCTTTCAAATCTGCATTCCTTTTGCTATTTCTTAGGTTTGTGTCTGGAGCAGATTGAAAAGCATGAGGTGATCAAAGTGTGAGTAACTCTTCTATAAATTTGTTTTTGTTTGTCATCTTAAAACATGTTTCACAATGAGGCTCTTTTTGGCTGTTGACATTTTACATTAAGGTCATTTGGTAATAATTGATATGTTAAAGGATACTTGAATGCCTGCTTTAATCAAATCTAAAAAATTTATGTACACATTTGCCCATACAAAGTTGGTTCTGTTATTGTCAATTTAGGTATCCCCATTGTCAATTTAGGGTCCTTTGCTCTATGGGATTTGAGGTGCAATGACAGCAGTGGCAAAAAACTTTGTCTACAGTAAGTACTTGAGTCTTATGAATACTAATGGTGTACAAGAATGTTATAAACACAATGCATAAAGTTTTTTGCATTACAAATGAACAGTCAAGTTCAGGAAAGAATAACATATTTTATATGGCCTTGAGTCACTTTCAGAGGATTTGAATGAATTGAATCAATATTCTATCTTTGTTCAGATCAATTGCTATGGTGCATGAGGCGCACATTTCTCCTTGTCAAAGGCGGGGTAGACGTAGAAAGGTTTGCCTTGACAACTTTTCTTACATGATTCACTTTGTTCTTATATTTGCTAATATGATTTTATTCTAAGTAAGCCCTATTTATTTCAGGCTTTTTCTATGAGCATCACATCTGTTCTGCATCTTGCAGTCATCAATAAGCCCTGATGATGCCGATTGATGCCGATTGATGCCCTGATATATTCTAAAGAGACTGATGCCGATTGATGCAAATTGCAGTCATCAATAAGCCCTGATGCAGCTCACATATTAAGCGGCTCTAGTGATGGGAATGCTTACATATGGCAGGTAATTATCTTCATTCTAAACATTCCATCAAGGGATTGTTAAATGTTAATGTGATGGTTAATAGCATTAGATCATTCAATGCAGATAAGGAAACCTCTTGCAGATCCCATTATACTGAATAGTCATGAAGGAGAAGTTACAGCAGTAGATTGGTATGCCTTATATCTGAGTGGTGTATTCTTGTACATGGTAGTGTCTGTTGGTATATGTTAAGTTGTTAACATAACTCATAATACTATGTACGGACTACTTATTGATGCTTTGCATGAAAGCGTTCAACAGGAAAGTTCTGATGGTTCTTGAAATGCATTGACGTAGATGCTGCATCTCATTTGATTATAATGTGCTGTGTTTGTCCCTTTTTAAATTGATTAAGAATTTTTAAAAAATATGACTTAGTAAATGATAGACAGGCTATTACAGGCACTGTTGAAAATGGCATTGAAGAAAACAGTTTCAGCATTTTGAAATTCACGCATCACATAATTGTCAACAAATTCATTTGTTCTTGAATGAACTGAATGAAGAGATATAGAAATGGATCTCCCCTCACAAGATTTAGAAGTTGCTTGGTACTTGGCAAATTATTCTATTATTCTATATTTCTAAATTCCTTACACTACTCCCTTTACTGATGCAGAAAACTGAGCAGGAGAAACTGGAGAAGCTTGCCCGAAAGGTATGTCAATCTTGACTATATTATGATTTTGTTTTTGTTCTCTTAGTCATTTTGTGTGCTACGCTCATTATTATAAATGCTAGCTTACTAATTATTTAATAATTATCAACTTTGTAGATTGTTGAGAGAGTTGGTAGATCGAGCTACACTCAACAAGAAATTGATGAAGTAAGAGACGTATGGGCCGACTTCTTTGTTGATGTATGGTTAAGTATGTAAATTGAACAAATTGATATTAGCTTTTGATAATGTTAACTTGTATTATTAATTAGTATCAAATTGTGAGATTTATTACTTGTTTCATTATAAATATTAGATTTTACATATTTTGCTGTGGTTGTGGTGCAATAATTGAGCAGGTTTGGTTGTGGTTGTGAGAAATTGAGCAGGTTTAGGTTGTGGTTGTGGTTGTGAGTAGATTTGAGCAGGTTTTTGGGTATAAATGGACAAATAAATTGTATATTAAAAAAAAAACATACAACGTCGGCTATATAAATAGCCGACGTTATATCTTATTTAAAAAATAAATAAATAAATACTTACAACGTCGGCTATTAGCATTTAGCCGACGTTGTAAGTATTTTAAAAAAAAAATTAAAATACTTACAACGTCGGCTAAATGCTATTAGCCGACGTTGTAGGTTTTTTATAAAAAATTAAAACACCTACAACGTCGGCTATTAGAATTTAGCCGACGTTGTAAGTATTTTAATTTTTTTTTAAATACTTACAACGTCGGCTATATGCTAATAGCCGACGTTGTAAGTATTTTGATTTTTTTTAAAATACTTACAACGTCGGCTAAATGCTAATAGCCGACGTTGTAAGTATTTATTTATTTATTTTTTAATTAAGATATAACGTCGGCTATTTATATAGCTGACGTTAAAAATAATATTTACAACGACGGGCGCAACAACTACGGTACATAGCCGACGTTAAAAGGTCTATTTAGCTGACGTTAAAAGCCTGCTGTGTAGTAGTGCAAGGACCTTGGGAATCTCAGATTCTTCCTAGGACTTGAAGTAAGCCAGAAATTATACAGGAATCTTTGTGACACAGAGAAAGTATGCCTTAGATTTGCTGCATGATGCATGCTTTCTTGAAAGCAAACCTGCAAGATGCCCTATGGTACAAACAAACAAGTTATCCAAAAATAATGGTGCAGCCTTAGAGGACAATACTCAATACAGGAGGCTGGTGGGAAAACTTCTGTATTTAACCATCACCAGACCCGACATATGCTTTGTTGCACAGCAGTTGTCTCAGTTCTTAGACAACCCTACTATTATTCATTTGCAGGCAGTCCACAGAGTTTTGAGGTACATCAAGAGTTGTCCTGGACAAGGCCTATTCTTCCCTGCAAATTCCAACTTGAAGATGAGTGGCTTTGCTGATTCAAAATGGGCAGTTTGCCCTGACACAAGGAGATCTGTAGCAGGTTTCTGTGTATTCTTGGGAAATGCCCTAGTGACCTGGAAATCAAAAAAAACAAAGCACAATTTCAAGGTCATCCTTTGAAGCTGAGTATAGAGCTCTTGCCTTTGCTACATGTGAAATACAATGGTTGTTCTATCTTCTTGAAGTTCTGGAAGTTCATTTGAATGAAGCAGCAGTGTTGCTTTCTGACAGTAAATCTGACATTGCTATGGCTGAGAACCCAGTTTTCCATGAGATGACCATGCATATAGAAATAGATTGCCATCTAATAAGGGAAAAGGTCTAGAAATGGGTTATCAAATTAGTACATGTTCCTACAAAAAGCCAAACAACAGACATTCTGACCAAACCTCTACAACCAATGCCATTTCAAAAGTTTGTATCCAAGTCGGGGCTTCATTCCATGTACACTCCAACTTGCGGGGGGATATTAGAGGATCGATCCAACAGTTAGTGGCAGTTAGTGATCTGTTAATCTAGCTGTAATAGTAGTTAGTTAGTTAGCTTTTGCTATAGCCTTCCTTTCCTCTTCTGTATAGAACATATAAAGCTGGCTACTGTTCCATTGCTAAGCTGATTTTGTTGATGATGAATAAAACAGTTTCTACCTTCTTCCTTCTTCAAATCTTTGTTTTGTGATACAGCCTGAAGGGAAAGATATTAAACACAAGAGAGAGAGAGAGAGAGAGAGAGGAGGTTGACAGCAGCCATGGCCATGGCTGCCTTCTTCTTCTCTGGCTACTCCGGCCGGCGGGAGCAACAGTGAGCGGCTGGAAACAGAAAATGTTTTTATTATTATTATTATTATTATTATTATTATTATTATTATTATTATTATTATTATTATTATTATAATAGAATAGTTATTTTGATTTTTAATTTTAATAAATATTTTTTTAAAGTTGCATACGTGGCAAGCTCAGATGATGCCACATAAGAGGTTATCTACATTTACAGGTAAACATCCAATTTTTGGGTTTAAATGCACAAAAATTAAAAGTTAATGTGTTTAATTGCTACTTTTAAATGTTCATGGGCTTAATTGACTTTTTGTATAAAGTTCAAGGGCTTATTTGACCCATTTCCCTACAATTCTTAATAGAATATATTTTTTCTTATTTTTCTATTCGTACTAGAATTCTACAATAAAATAATGTAATAAAATTCTTAATAGAATATATTCTTTCTTACTTTCATATTCGTACTATAATTTTACATTAATATTCCTATTCCTAATACAATAGGACAATACTCTTATTAAAACACTGCTATAATACTCCATGCGTTCCAACACTTTGAACGAACAAATAGACCTGGCACTACAAATACAAGAAATCTTATAATCATGCCCACACGATTCTTTATTTTTGTGTTAGAGACACACTACTAAGTTCCTTCAAAAGTTTTTTTTTTTTAAAAAAAAAAACAGTCTTTATTTTAATATTTTATTTTTTATTTTAAAATAGTCTAAATTCAACAATAAATGTATTTTATTTTTTTCAGTTCGGAACATGAACCAGCTGTTTCGGTGCGCGATTTTAATAAACTCTAAATATCTTGTTTCAATTCTAAATTGTAATTGGAATATTTCGGTTTGGTTGTTATAGTGTCTGTTTGATTTGAACCAAATTGTGATCATAATTTGTTGGAGAAAAAAATAAATAAAATATTTATTTTAAGGATAAATATGTCCATGTAACATTTTACGAGAAAAAACAACCAATTAAATAATTTATGGGAGAAAAGTGCTATAAGTATATATAACTCAGGTGAAAATATGCTATTTTCTCAATAATGTATATAGATACACCACCAAAAGGGCATTGTTTTTAACTTTTTATGCTGAAAATAATAAAATATACAGCCTAAGTCTCAAAGATTAATTCAAACATTAATTGTTCTAAAAAAATAAAGAGTAAAAGACATTTTTGGTTCTAGACTTATAGTGGCTTGGACAATTTTAATCCTTTATAAAAAAATTTGCCATTTTATAGACAGAGTTATTGTGGCGAGGACATTTTTGGTCCTCCGTCTATATTTCTGTTAGATAACCGTATGAGAGAGGGGCAATTGCGTCAATTTAGGCTATCTCCTTCTATCTATTATATCTATTTGTGTTTTGCGGCTTCGATTCTCCTTCTATCTATTTGATTAGTAACCTGTTTGGCGGCTTCGATTCTCCGGCAATTTCTTCATATAACTGCAACTTGGACTCTCCGACTACTTCGAATTATAACCGAGAAGAAAACAAAACAGACATAGATATAATAGATAGAAGGAGATAGCCTAAATTGACGTAATTACCCCTCTCTCAGACAGTTATCTACAGAAATATAAACGGAGGACCAAAAATGTCCTCACCACAATAACTCTGTCCATAAAATGGCAAATTTTTTTATAAAGGACTAAAATTGTCCAAGCCACTATAAATTTAGGACCAAAAATGTCTTTTACTCAAAAATAAAATTCAAACATTAATAAAAATTTCGCGGACACAATAAATCCACTGCCAACGTACATGCACGAAATGACCAAGCATTGGGCAGTCCCCACGCATTGGACAGTGGAAGAGCTGCTTGGTCATTTCATTCTTTTCATTTCACTTACCAAGACAACGCACCAGCCGATTCAATCGGTAAGGTTTAATGTTGAGGGTGGTTTTACCGAGGGTGCATAATAGGATAGGTAAATACGATAAAGTTTATGCATGAAAATATGTTTCGAAGCAAGGAAAAGCGTGTTGGTAGAGTCCGATTCTAGGATAATTTTAGCTGATAAGTCGGTCTAGGGCATAGCATTTATTAAAAGACTTCCCAATACTACAAACATACGGTGTGTGTATTGGCATAGCATTTATTTAATACGTATTCTGTATATTTAATAATATTTTATCCCTTATTTGTACAATAGTAAACCCTACATCTTAAAATCACTCCTCCCTCATCACAGAATTTTTTACTCTTCTTCCGCCTTCTACCCCATTTTTTTTTAATCTTCAAAGAAACTTCTATGGTCCCACCCAAAATAGAATAATAGCAAAAACAAAGATTTGTGGTCCCTGGAGCGTGAATAGTTTTGAGCGGCGGTTCTTGAAAGCTTCTGGAGCATTTGGCGATGGTGGTGGCCTTCTTGGTGGCGGAATCTGGCGTGGTGGTTTTGGTTGCCGGTGGGTTTTCGACGGCAGACTGCGTTGGTGTACTTGTTGACGGAATCCGGCGGTGTTTTCGGTTGCGGCTGGGTTTTCGACGGCAGTGGACGGTGGTGCACAGGTTGACGGAATGGTGACATTCCTACTAAGTCCGTGTCAAACATTCTATGACACAAAGTTTGACACGGACTCCTATTGAAGATAAAATGGTGACATTCCTACTCAGCGAATATAAATAAGACTGGGAGAAGAAATACGAAGAGTAAATATATTAAATGAAGCCGAAATACATAATTCCAAATATAGCATGTGAACAAAGAAAATTGAATAAAATTTAGAAACTCAAAATTCTGGTTTACATATCAAGTATCAATGCGGTGGTGAATACAAGTCTCTGAATGGTCCTCTGATTCTTCAATTTGAATGCCTTGAACATTCCACCATTGAAGGGCCTCCGGGTTATTTGTTCACAAATTGGCACGCCCAGTGGGACCGCTCTGCCTCTCATCTCTTCATAGGCACTTACAACCGATATGGGGACAAACCCTATATGAAATTTGAAATGGAGGAAGCTAAATGATACTCCTTGGCACGAGTTTAAACGGCCTCATATTCATGCTCCTTGGCACGAGTAAAAACGGCCTCATATCTTTCAAGGCTCCTTGACACGAGTTGAAACGACTCTTTATGTTGCAGTGTCGAGACTTTCTTGCACTACATACTTTCGAGTGTTATATGCTTTCAAGTGGTGTACAAGCAAGTCTCGAGGGGGCATTTGTTGACACTTAAATTTTGATAAATATTGATTATTTATCAATATTAGTATATTTGAATATATGTATGGATAATATTGATATTATCTAATTTGTTAATTAGATAATATCAAAAGAGTTTCAGTTTATCAAAACTCTTCTATCATACACCTATAAATAGGACCTCTTATTTCTATGTAAACACAGATCCTAGGAAAAATGATGTAAACATCTTTAAAAATATTATTTAGGATCATAATAAAAATGTGATCCTGAAGTAAAAGCCCCTCCTCCATATTGATCATGCCTATTTATCCAAACCTCCATTGAAGATCAAGCCATTTGAACCCGGAGGCCCTTCAAGAAGAACAAACTATATATATAAGCCCTTCTTTGAAGATCAAGCCACTTGAAACCCGGAGGCCCTTTAATGGTGGAGTGTTCAAGGCATCAAATTGAAGAATCAGATGACCATTTAGAGACTTGTACCCATTGATATATACTACTGTAACCAGAATTTTGAATTCAATATATTTTATTCAATTTTCTTTGTTCACAAATTAAGACTTTCTTGTACGCCACTTGAGAGCATATACCACTCCAAACTATGTAGTGCAAGGAAGTCTCGACACTACAACATAAAGATATAAGGCCGTTTCAACATAAAGACTTTCTTGTACGCCACTTGAGAGCATATACCTCAATATGGAGGAGGAGCTTTTACTTCAGGATCACATTTTTATTGTGATCCTAAATAATATATTTTCAAGATGTTTACATCATTTTTCCTAGGATCTCTGTATACATAGAAATAAGAGGTCCTATTTATAGCCGTGGGATATAAGAGTTTTGATAAACTGAAACTCTTTTGATATTATCTAATTAACAAATTAGATAATATCAATATTATCCATACATATATTCAAATATACTAATATTGATAAATAATCAATATTTATCAAAATTTAAATTTGTGAACAAAGAAAATTGAATAAAATATATTTAATATTCAAAATTCTAGTTACATATGTCAAGTATCAATGCGGTGTGGGTACAAGATCTCTGGATGTCCTCTGATTCTTCAATTTGATGTCTTGAACACTCCACCATTGAAGGGCCTCCGGGTTTCAAATGGCTTGATCTTCAATGGAGGTTTGGATCAATAGGCATAGGCATGATCATTATGGAGGAGGGGCTTTTACTTTCATGATCACATTTTTATTGTGATCTCTGAATAAGCTTCTCAGCTTTAAGATATTTCTATGAATTTTTCCTAGTATATCTGTGATTACATAGAAATAATAGGTCCTATTTATAGCTGTAGGATATAAGAGTTTTGATAAACTCAAACTCTTTTGGTATTATCTAATTAACAAATTAGATAAT